TGATGGAGGAAAAAATGAGCTAAAGCTATAAGCAAACATACTCGTTCATTTCGGAAAAAAAGACATAACAAATTGTTCTACGGTAATTTTTCCGGAAGGAGTGATATAATATAGAACTTGGGACTCTGGCAAAATAAAAAACATTTTTTGAACTGTCATTACTTGCATATCGCTTGAACATCAAAATTCAGGGAATGAAGGGCATTGAACGAAAGTAATAAAGTGGCACAGCTTGCAGAAAATAACATGGCAAAAGCATTTGTGTTGAATGTGTACTGCACGATAATGCGCTAATTATCATTCTTTATATAAAGAGCAGTAAAAACATGGAAAGGCACTGATGGCTGGAAATTCAGTCGAGTGATAATTCTAAGTTTCAAAGAAAACCAAACAGATTTTAAAAGAATTAGGTAGTCCAAAAGTGCATGTTTTTACATTAGCGCACAGTCTCTCTTTACTCAAAGAAAAAAGCTGAGATTCAAACATAGAAAAAAATCAGTTTCTAGCCGAGTAACAGAAGAGAGGCAGCTATGAGATCAAATTATGGAATGCATCCATCTGTCAGCTCTAAAAAACGAGGAAGAAAGGCTTGACTTGCAGAGCGGTCAGCCTCAGAAAAAAACCTCGATCTCAACTCAAGCTTGTTCGGGTCTACAATAAACAACTTGATTAACACATTCACGACAAGGCGGATTTTTCGATGACTGACTTTGGACCAGAGCATATTCCGCAATAATGGGTCTGCGTGATATTGTCTAGCCGCTAATGGATCCGATGGTTTAAAGAGTTAGTCTCTTGAGAAGTGTTTCAAAAAATTCATACAGGAATTTATTCAGTTTGCCCAAAAAGTCTCATCGTATACTAGCGAAATTGAAAACTTCAAAAAGCACATGACCCACCAGTGGTCGTATTGTCCGAGACAGAACACGTACTACCCATCGTGGGTCGTATTGTCGTGAAAGGTTAAACGGCGATGAGGCAAATTTGACGTTTCAGAAGTATTTCTGAATATGCCTTGGTCACCACAGCGCTAGCAAAAACCTTTTATTTGAGTTCGACTGCAGCAGCATATTGTAGCTCTAATGAAAAACAGCATCGTATGCCTACGACTGTTTTCCTCGTTTCTACTAGAGATTAAGACATTAAGTAGGTAATTGGTCAATAGTGTTTCTTCCCGTTTTTCTTTGTTGTTTGGGCATGACTGGGTTTGGAAAAGTGTTGGTAGTTGTGTGCCATGGAGATTACACGAGACTTGCATGGTCAGTGTCTCGGGAAATGTGCAATTGCACATACTGACAAAAGAACTTACTCGCTTATGGCGCGCGGTTGCGACTTGCACGATTTTTGCGCGGAAATTCCCATAAGCTGTAAGTATCACCTTTCCAATCTAGAAGTCATTGAAAATTCGTCCATAATGGGCTGAGAATACATGCGAACGCTTTATTGAAGATAAATAACAGAGACAAATCAGAAACTTCCAAAGAAGCATCCTAGCAATGGACTAAAAATCCCGGAAATGCATAGCGTATGCAAGAGCATCAAAAGCACATAATATAAAGCAAAAGGGATGATGTTATAGCATTTGCATTAAGAATTGAATAGATAGACGAAGTGCAAGCGAACGCGGCTTTCATATGATGTTGGAGGTTGGCATGGATACAATCCGCCACGCCTTAACTCTCAGAGCGGATTATGTCTGACTTGGCAGTATATTTACGTTGCAAAAGAGCAACAGATTTGCAGAGCAAGCTATTCTTTGCAGATTTTGCTATTTTACAAGCACGATTAACCGCAGAAATCTGAGATCTCACGCTGAGGGAAAAAATGTAGTGTCGAGAGGGAGGTGCGAAGAGGACCCGAGACGCAAACAAAAAGCGTGCCGAAGGATTCTAAATTCGCGTAATTGGATCAACAAAAACGCAATTTGCCGATCTCACAAGCAAGAACGGCCGCGCAAATATATCTCAACTAAAGCGGAAAACTACAGCCATTGATTTATGGTCGTTCCATATGTTTTAGGAACTACAGCTACTAAACGACATTGCATAGCAATTCAGCTTGTATCTAACGATCCCCGTTAAACTATGAAAGATGAATTATGAGCCGTATTTATTCGAAGCTCAGCCATAATCGTTGCGTGCCAATCCATCCTTTCCTGGATGCGGTGGTCATCAATCACCACCTGTCACCCAGTTCGCAAGGCGCCGAACGTTGAATTGTATTAGTTCTACGAGCTAAGCCGCCTATATTTGGCAAATAATGCTGGGGGTGCGGGAGCTAATTACGTAAAAGGAAATCTCATATGCAAAAGAGCTCATGTGTTGACAACCCCTTCCTACACAGGCTCATTTTGCAATAGTCGTAGGGAGACTGCTAATCAGGGCTGAAGAATACTGAGATTTTACAAAAGGGAAGCTTAGTAGCTTTTTTATCACATTCTCCCACGATTTTTGTCCGTATTGCTGGAAGTCATATTCGTATATGTGGAAAACCGTGAATACAGTCAGAAAGAGCAAAGCCTGCTCTATAAGAAGAAGCGTTCAAACATTCGCAAGAAGTTTGGACTGTGGAATTTGAAGCCAAATCTCAAGATTTTGATACAACAGATCTCCATCCAACACTTGCTCGAGTATGTACTTTCCGCACCAGTCATTCAATACATACAGTTGCTGTGCCAAATTTCTTTTTCTCATTTTATCCGCAAAAAAACCAGCAGAGTCAATGCTCAAAAAAGCTAGGTCCTATAAGTTCTTAAAGGGAGATGCATTTTAGGTTTTTCCTTTAACCTTCAAGTGAAGATTTTAGGTGCAACAGATTTTTTACGGATGTTCAGACGCTTCTTATCTTTTCTTTGTTTTAGTAGTTTTACCCCGAACTTCCTGAGAAGTACTTGAGTTCCTGCAAAACGGGGAAAAATCATGGGGCAACACAATGTCAAAACGTAAATGTTAGTTGGATTCATTGAGAAAAAAGGAAACAATTCTTGGACGAGACAGACGAGCTTCACCCAAGCTTGAGCAGGCTTTCCCAGTTTACGCAAAGTCTACCTAAACTATATATTGCGCGAGTTACTTGCTTCGATCTGATGATACCTAAGATGACTTTCTCGAACATGTGCAAAAATCAGCGCCAGTCAAGAAAATTGCGTTATCCCCCCCCCCCCTCCCCGCGCGCACGAAAAAACATGCTACAGTGGTTAACTGCTATTGTTTTCTAATGCATATGTTTCAAATTGTGTCGAACAATGACCTATTCACATAATTGTCTTGCGTCGATCCTAGGATTTTTATTTGAACGTAAACGCTATGCATTCTTTTCCGGCTGAGAGGACAGATGACACCAAAATCCAATATCTCTATGGAACATCTGCTGCGAAACGTTTTTTTATGGTGAACATAGCAAAAGCGACAATTTGAACGATCTACAGGGTGCGCCAAAATTATTTGCGCCAAAATATTCAAGAATGCCACAACAATGGCAATGAGAATTTGGTCTGGATTTAATGGCACAGAATGCCGTAAGCATACTCTACAAAAGGCACTATTAAGATCCCAAATCGGTCTTTATTTAGAGAAGTAAGAATTGCAAAAAGTAATGTTCATGACAGAAAAAACGCAAGCTGACGCAAATTATAAGTAAAAATTTTTGTTTAGACTGCTCCTAAAGATAACCTCAGTGATCTTAAAGTCTAAAACTAGCTCTATTATACAGCGAAATCTCTTTGCCTGAGTGAAGCGGTCACTAAAAAGATACATGCTGGGCAAATTTCTGAGCCTCTACCCGCGTGCAGCACGCGACAAAGCCAAAGAAATGTTATGAATTTTCCGAAAAGCAGAACAGGCAATTTCACATTTTTCAACTAAGATATTATTGAACCAAGAAAACAATATTAGGCTTGACCGCTGGCTGAGCCGGTCCTTATATTCGTATGGCGCTTAATGAAACACGCGCAAATAATTGTGGCGCACCCTGTAGTAATGGGTTGGCACATAAGTTTTGCAACTAATTTTGTAACCTTCCTCTATATAAATGCTACGCATTCAATCTTGGGCATAAAGTAGATTAGATAGTGGGCTACAAATGTGAGCAAGCAATTTCATTTTTGGTAGCGAAGTACAGAAAATTCTCGCATTTTTCGAACGCTAGTCAAACTCGAGATTTTAAAAGTCGGAAAATTAAAAATACAGCCTCACTCTGAATCAAAAGTAACAATTCAAGACTGTACAGATCATTGGAAATTCCTCTATCAACAATCTGGTGCAGTTTCGGCTTGATGCATTTGCTTCAGACTGAGAACGGCTGCATTTATGGTTTTCCGAGCCTTGTAATTTCGAATTTCTAAAATATGGGAGAATTTTCTCTAGTTCGCCGCCAAAAATCAAACTGCTTGCGCATGTTTGTAGCCTACTATCTAATCTACATTATGTCCAAACAAGTGCGTCACATTCACAAAGAGAAAAAGTTGCAAAACTTATGTGCCAACCTATTACTAATGAGGCTAATGAGATGGGAGGCAAGTCTTATGCATAGCAAGTGCCCTAATTTGGGCATACGGCTGGTGCAAATGACCCAGCTCAATACAAGTGGTCACCAACTTAGGCTATTCCAAAATGTCAACAGAGATGATTTTACAGGCTGACCAGACGTCTATGGAATAAGCTGAAGCGTTATCAGACGAAGAACCAGTGTAATTCCATAAAAACGCTGGAGCAAAGCAAAGAGACTAGCTCGCGTCCAGCAATGCACATATTCGCAGGCACATGGCGCGGGACTATAAACATCGCGTTCCCGTCGCCCACAAGAAGCACATGAGTACTCAAATGGGTTATTGGTACACGTCTTCAACAATCAACAGTGTAGAAAGAGAGCGGCCAAGCTGATTTCAACTTTGCACTCATTATCAGTAGCTAGCAGTTATGTGCAGTTTTAGACACCTTTGCTAGGTCACCTCCTTGTCGCGGATTTACTCCTGCACTCCTGCATTAGCGCTGGTTTAAGAAATGTACTCTGAAGTTGCAAAACTTGAGAAGGTTGGAACAAAGTAAACATCGAGAATTCCCGAAACCTCAGATCTGCAAATTTCAGACTACTCAAGCACCTTCCGATGTTTTTGAGACGAAATACTCCCCCGTGAACGGATCTTCGAAGACAAACAATCAGTCAGAAGGGGTCAACAGTGACGAGGAAGCTGCAAGAAATCTTGCAGTGTGAGAACAAACAAAGATGAAACAAAAGTTCATTCAACGCACAGCTGATGATCAGACAAAATAAGATCAGAAGGATTAGCACAGATTAGGCATTTTCAACAAAAAAAAAGTTTCAGTAGTACTAAAGTAATTAATACTTTGTCTTCGAGAATAAACGGATACGTAGAAAAAGGTAATCAATCTGATGCGGTTAGGAGCAATGAAGAAGCTCCCAGAGATTTTGCAGGGCAAGAACAAACAAAAAATAAAAGTTTTCCATAAGAAGCACCGATGCCCCACTTGAACATGTAATTAAAAATGAGCATTCAGAAACAAAGACAGACAACAACTGTAGATTTTAGTCAAGAATCTGTAACCAAGAAGTTAGAGTGTAATGGAAAGTCAGGACAATGGCGAAATGACTTGCAATATATTGCTTTTCTCTTCTGTTAGTTTTTATACAGAACAGCTGATCGGTCCGAAGAAAAGAAGAAGCGGATAGATGCTGACAAGCGGTTTTTCGATGGCACTGAAGAAGCACATGAAAAAATACCTTTGACTAACTCATGGGTTGAGCAGCCAGTTAACTGCTACAGACTCCATGCAGACATTAACCGAAAATTAGCCGGCTCACATGAATTGGGAGCGCAGTAAACATGATGAATGAGGAATTTCCGATACCAAGGGTATACGAGAAGAAAGAAGAACGAAGAAAAGAAAAAACAGAAAAAACGAGGAAAAGGAAACAAACGCTTATAGTAAGTAAAAAGAACACATTTGCCAATTGAATAAGTTGAAATGTAATACTAAAACTTAACACACAGTCAAAGTTTACTGATTTTGCCTCGTCGCATAACATTGAACCAAAATGCACTTCTGGGAAGACACTTCACTCAAATGATGAGAAAAGCATTCGTTTGAGCATTGGTTTTTTGAATGGAATCAATTTCCATTCAAAAAACCAATGTAGTTGTGAAGAGAGATTGAAAAATTCTGCAAAAGCATTGTTAAAACGAAACCAAAGAAAGTGTTTATGTTAAGCAGATGCTCGAAATGACTGTTTCAAATATTGAACAGCATTCAGAAACCCCATTCCATTCAACAGGAGAATCTAATTGTGAAAGACGATGAAAATGTTCAAAAAATGATCTTACAAGGTCATTAGCATGCAAAATTTCTGCAACAAGTGCGTCAGCCGTTCGAACAACAACTGCACTCTGCATCGGCGCAGACCAAAGAACAAAAAAGTGCATGGCGAAAGGCAAAATATGCTTTCCAACGTTAAAATGTGAGATAATGGACAGGATGTGAATTGTTGAAATAATGGCAAACACATATGCTCTAGGAAATAGGCAACAAGCGTTTAAATCCTGTTTTGATGAGTGTTTAGCATAAGAAACAGGATTAGAGCTTGTGGACAGTTGATGATATGACAAACAAATACTCGCTCTACTCAACCAAACGCAAATTATATAGAGTAGAAAAAAACTGGCAAGAGCTTCAAGCAAAACCAAGGAAGATAAAACTCGAATAAAATTGTGCAACAATCACAAAGATGCAAAAAACACGCACTTACAGACTTAAAATTCCCGACGGAAGATGTTCGCACCCGTCAAGGTCAACCGCATCTTCCACTGTAATTAATTATTCAACGTTCACGCACAGCTGAAAGGCAGATGGTCAGCCGTTGGCGGCACACCGTGAATGCGTCAGCAGCCAGCCGACTATGCGCCAACGATTTCCCTTTCCGGCGTTGGCGGCTGAAAGTGCAGCGCCACTGGAACTCGATCTCCACAAGCAAACATGCGCACCATAAATGGAAGTGCGAACCATAATTGCAACATGGCTGTCCCTATGACCGTTCTAGCTGTAGAAATCAGAACAAATGCTTCTTTACACATAGAGCAGCAAAAAAAAGCTGCGAAGGAAATGCAAAACGAAAAACCCGGCAAAATGGGGCGATATAAATGATTGCATCAATTTCTGTTAGCATGTGGGCACATTAATACCGGTTTGTATGTGCAAAGAACGTTTTGCGTTGGCGACGAACCTTTTTTCAAGGTCGATTACGATGTTTCTGCAAAAAAAAACCCCAAGCTGCCAAGAATGACGAATAATTTGCCACTTCTTTTACAGATTTTGACGCCGCAATTTTGTTCAAGAATCTGGTTTCTACAGCGTCAATAAAAATTGTTTTTGTAACCTAAAGTGTCCAGTCATAGTCAGAATGACAGCTGTCAGCTGATCTAGACTTTTATGAGATGAGTCAAGAGAGAGAGCAAGCTTATAATCCAGTCATTTCCTACGATCACATGTGTCGTTGCACGCAATGCGCAATTAACCGTCCTATCCTGGACTGAAGGCAAAAAAAGCGGAACAGAACTGATTTTCCCGCTTACACTCACTACTTTGTTTGGATTCTTATTTGAAAAGGGAAGAGTATAAAGAAAACACCACACTCATCTGGTGAGGTGTCGGCTCCAAACTTGGATACGGCATAAATGAACATTGTGTGCAGTGAAAAATATGATCATATGAAATAACCAGACTATACAGTCGAGTCATCTCATATGATCATGTGTGCCACTGCACACATTGTCCACCTTTGGCGTCACCGTCCTGGAATTGCAATCGCATAAAACGCAAGGGACCGACAGATTGTCATCGCTTACATCACTTTGTGAAGATTGGTGCCTAAAAAGGAGAAAAAGCATGAAGAAAACATCGGAAACACTTAGCGGAAAGGCTGTCTGTTCCTAAAATCCAGGGTGAGGACGCCAAAGGTGGACAATATGTGCAGTGACACACATGATCATATGAAATGATTCGACTGTACATTCTGTGTCACTGATGTGCTCCTTTTCCAATCAGCTCAAGGGCGACGTCAGAGACCCGTGCATAGTTGTTACGGAAAAGTAGATGGCACAGACTGTACAGTAGTCCTACTAGGACTTGTGTGTAAATGCACCATTTTCTGGGGTTCCAGGCATAATTCTGACTTTTATTCATTCCCTTCAAATAGTGAATGCAGCGTGCTCTTCTGTTATAACTCCTAATATTTTGCCAAAACTGTCTAGCCTACTCGGCTCGAACATGAGGATTAAAAAGGGGGGGGGAAGGGAGTCCACGAGATTTATCAGGTGATCATGCATATCTTCCCGCCCTTCTATCTACCCCATATCTACCCGTATCTACCCTCTTCACATACAATTCAGTAGATTTCACATTTGCCATCCCGCGCAAATGTTGTGGCAACCGCAAAGGCACTTTGTCAACCGTCAATCCACTAAATGCTAACCTAGTTCAACTGCGTTTGGCACGCAGTATGTCTAGAAGATGTTTTAATTATTACTAGCATTACAGTGTCTGTTACGCGGGGGGTGCGCAGCAAATATTGGTGCTCGAGAAGTTTCCCACGCTTCTTATTACGGGTATCCAAACACAAGGCTGTTCGTCGTCGTGCCGATGACAAGCTTGGAGTTATCTAGAGACAACGTTTGCTTTCGTAGAGCTTGTCTGAAAAAATAGTCACTCAAATCAGAATCTCTCTATTCTTACATAGTTTTTTTTTTTGGGAGGGGGGACAAAGGAGGGGAGGTATATGCCAGTTGCGGCCCAAGAAATTTTCTTTGCGGGGGAGGAAAAAAGGTGGGGAGGGGGGTGGGAGCAAAAGTAATTCTTCTTAAGTAGCACTAGCAATGCCCTTGGAAAATTAGCTTGAGATGCTCTCCAAATTTTTCGCCAACCTGTGACCCCAGAACTCGCCCTCATAATATTTTTGAAGAATTAGTTTGAAATTGGGAGAAAAATTTTAAAAGTTATTTCAACTGGGGTGAAAACAAATCAGTTGCACATCTTGCAACTCCTGTATGCAAAAAATATAGAATTTCTGTAACATTGCACAAATATATGGTTTTCTTGAATGGCGATGACTATGAAGACCTCAGCCGTGTACGAATTGGATTGAAGAAGATGGTTTCAAATCTTATAAGCGGGAAGAAACTATAATATATGAAGATGCCGAATAAGAACCCCTAGTTTTGGTTTGATTATCGTGTTGGTGAATGTGACGGAAACGACGAACACACAGCGAAGTCATAATATATAAACTATGAATATTTATGCTGCATAAAGGGATGACGTAACTAAACTCCCACAGTGAAGAGCTGAATAAAGAAGTGTTATGATGTGATGATGTGATAGTCGCGCTGATATTCTTCCTTTAGATTCATGTTTATGAACCAAACTGAGATATTCTTCAAATGTTCTGAGCCACACAGGTTTTTAGATGGTCTTTATTAAGCAATCCACGGCCTAACGTTTCGACGCCTTCGTCTTCCTCAGAGGCCTGAAAGTGGTTCAAAACGTTATCCGTGACTCCAAGCCATCAAACACCTCCCCTAGTCCGGCTAGTTCTCAACCTTCGCTCAGCTTTCCTACTATAAAAATGTCAGGACAGAAGATGAGCGTACCGAAAGACCACCGCTATATATGGTATTCCGCACCGGAAATGATGGTCGTGGCGGAAGAATAAACTATACCATAGATGACGATCGAATGTGATCTATAGACCGCATAACGATATGAACGGAAGAAAGTCAGAGGTTATTGACAAACACTCATTCTTGTTGTTCATTTCTGGTTTCTTTGCAGAGATCCAGAAAGCCTCTAATGCTTTCCTAGCCGAGGTCTCCCTTTCATAAGCTAAGATCTTACACTTGATATCAAAGTCTTCTCCATTATGCGCCTCGCTTCTATGCCTGCCTAAAGCTGAAGACAATGTTTTACGCTTTTTATCTGCAAGATGTTCTTTAATGCGAGTACTGAGTGCTCTTCCGGTCTCCCCAACATAAAGCGCGTTGCAACTGAGACATTCTAGTTGATAAACTACTCCCACTTTTGCGCAATCACCTAATTTACCATGCGGGCAGACTACACAATGTTCTGTTATGCAGTATCGGTCGTATAGTCTATTTCGAACCAATTGCTTTTTGATATTGTCATTCGGAACGTCCACTAATACAATATCATCCTGCAATTGTGCGCGTGAAATGCATTTTCGAAAGGCCGCGCTGATGTTATCCGATATAAATGGAAGGCATAGTGGGAGTTTATTATCATAAGCGTTGTTACCATTCGCAGTCTGTCGAGTACGCGATAAAGAATGGTAGCCATTACTGCAAGCGATATGGGAAGCCAAATTTCGTGACTCGTATCGTTCCTTTTCTCCGGAGCACATCTGCATAGCCGTATTGAACATATTCCTGATTACAGCGCGCTTCACGGATAAAGGATGGGCAGATTTAACATTTAAAAGGATGTTCTTGGAGCTTTCTTTGCGGTACCATTTGAACTCAGTTATGCCGTTGGACAGCCTTATTTGTGCGTTGAGATAAGGCAGCCATCCGTCGTGTGGTGTCTCTCGTGTGAGCTTTATGTACTGCGACTGCTGGTTGAGAATCTCGAAACACTTGTCCATTTCGGACTGTGTGGACGTCGCTATACAGCAGTCATCGATATAACGGCAGTACATTAGCGGCATTCGAGCTATCACCGGTTCCTCGATCTTGCTCATAAAGCAGATAGCGAGTACAGGCGCTAGTCTCTGACCCATTGATAACCCACGTATCTGGGAGTAGTAAGTCCCAGACCATCTAAAGATGTTACATTTCAAACATTCGTGTACCAGGGTCATTGTCCGCAACTTGCCAAGTCCAAAGGTATTGATGGTATTGCCATGCCTATCCAACATCTCTGATAGCGCTTGCAGGGCTTGTCCATTTTGCACATTAGTGTAAAGCGAAGCCACGTCAAATGACTCGATTACAGTGCTCGAATCAAACTTAGCGCTGCGAAGCTGTTCGATAAATCCGTGTGAGTTGGATAGATGTGCAGGTACCTTGGACAGCAATTGGCTCACAATTTTATTCAAGAACCATGCAATTCTGTCGGTAGGGCCGCCTACACAACTGATGATTGGTCTGATCTTGTAGGTGTCCTCCGACATTGAATTCATGTCTCGCAAAGAAAGCTTGTGCGTTTTGATCAAGCTATAAAACACTGGACAACTTGGACATTTAAGCTTCAATCTATTGATAAACCTGTCATCAAGTCCAGCTGATTTTCCTATCGTGGTCCAAGCGTCATTCAACTTTTTACACTGGGTGTAAAATTCTTTCTCAGAGACCATTCTATACGTTGTGGTGTCCGCAAGATGCGCTGCTGTTATTCTGCGATCTAACTCCTGAGGCATTACTACAAACTCGCCGCCTTTATCGCTTACAGACACGCGTATTGAGCCGTTCGAGACGAGTTCGCGTACCTCTTTGAAACCTTGCCACTGTTCGTATGACAAGTTGTTCTGATGTTGATGTTTTGCTCTGTTGAGAACTTCCAAAACACCAGAACATAAGAGACGGAACTTTATGTCTACCTCAAGAACGGGAGACGGTTGTCTGTAGAACGATTGAGGGAAAGGAATTGATGGTAAGCCGTTAGATTCATAAGACGCCATTGCTGAACTACCTCTATGTTTAGCTCTCAGTCTTAGAATGTCTCTGACTTTGTGCAGGCTTCCAACAACTTTGCGATAAGTAACAGCATTGATGTTCTGCGCAGGAGAGAATGAAGGTCCAAGGCTAAGAAG